GAAAAGAAGGAAGGAAAGATTGAAGGAAAGAATGAAGAAGGAAGGGGAAGGGAAATTGGAGGGGAGGGAAGAGGATAGAAAGAGAAGAGGTAAAAGGAAGAATAAAGAAGGAAGAGGAGACAAAGAGAAACAGAAGCAAGAAAAATCAAACCTACTATTATTATCACTGGTTTCAGAATGAGAAGCCCATGTTTCTGCCTTCCCAAAGCTCCCAGCACACTACCAAACTAGCATGGAGTGAAAGCGTAAATGAATTTGTATGTACTCATTATTGTCTTCTAGATACCAGCCAACTGAAAAGGATACAAATCCTTGGAGCAGAAGCCAGGCATGGTGGGACATACCTGTAATTCCAGCACGTGGGAGGCTGAGGCAGGACTGCTGTGAGTTCAAAGTCAGCCTGGACCACACAGTCAGTTCAAGGCCAGCTGGAGTTATGTAGCAAGACTATCTCAAAAAACAAGTGGCAGAGCACATGCCTGGCAAAGCTTGAGGTTTTCAGTTCAATTCCTGGTACCCAAACAAAACAAAACAATGCCCCATGCCAAACAAACAAATGAAACACTGGAGCACAGACAGACCCTCAAAGTTAAACTGTGCATCTTGAAACTCTGATGTACTATTTCTGGGTGCTTGCACTAAGAATTATCTTGATGGTAGCTGGATCAGAAGACTAGACTTGAACTCTTCTCCAGGACCAGATCAGTAATCCCACTGGGCAGGGTGACACTGGGGATTGAATCCAGGGGCTTCGTACTGATTTCTGAGACAGAGTTCACTAAATTGCCCAGGTTGGGCTCAAACTTGTAATCCTTTTGCCCCAGCCTTCCTGAGTACTGGGATTATAGGTGTGCACCACTCTGCCCAGCAGTTAAATCACTGAAGAGTGCAGCAACCAGCATGTGCTCTGGAGTCTGAGGTGGGAGGATCTGCTTGAGCCCAAGAGTTTAGAGGCCATCTCAAAAAAAAAAAAAGTTAAAAAGCTAAAAAGTGAGACAGCCAGGGAAGCAGGCTAGTAATGAGACTCAAATGACTTAAGTTCACTTTAGTACCAAAGCCTGCAAAAGACCCAAATGATGATAGTAGGAGCCAGTAGACTACTTGGAGTGAGGCATGAGTATGTAGTGTGAGGAAAAAAATGGGGGTCCTTTTATGGCCCAGCCGGGAAGAAGGGACTGCTGGGAGGCAGGGGATACTGTAAATTCCAAAGCCCTTCTTTTTTTTTTAAATTTTTAATTTTTTTTTTTTAAATTTATGTGTGTGTGTGTGTG